CATCAGAAAAAGGACCCTTTTTCTGATGAAGGGTCTAGGCCCGAAACGTCAGCCTCTCTGCTCCTATGATGCTGCTTGGCCTGCTGTGTTCATCCAGCCCTGCACCTTGTTGTCTCGGATTCTCCAGCATCTGCAGTTCCTACTATCCCAGATTTTGTACAGTCTTCTTGCATTTGCTTGTGGATAGCTTCAGATGTTGAAATTGCTAAATATTATGCAACCATCCACACCTCTATCCTTACAATGAAAAGAAAGTTATTGATGAAGCAGCTGAAAATGCTGGGCCTTGGACACTTGCCAGTTAAACTCCTACAGTGATGCTCTGTGGTTGAGATGACTGATCTCTAACATTCGCACCCATCTTCCTTTGTGCTAGGGTGAACTTGTAACCCGTTAAAAGAGGATTGCTCCAAATTCTCATTGATTCCAGTTTTGCTAGGGCTCATTGGTCAGATACTGTTGTTAAATGCTGCTTTGATGTCAGGGCAATCATTCACTACTATTCTAGTGCAGCTCTTATAGAGTCAGAATTGCACAGCATGGAAACCCTTCAGTCCATTTTGTCCAAGTCAACCAGATATCCTAAATTAATCTAGTCCCATTTGCCAGTATTTGGCCCATATCCCTTCAAACCCTTCCTATTCATGTCCAAATGCCTTTTAAAATGTTGTAATTGTACCAGCCTCTGCCATTGCCTCAGGTAGTTCATTTCATACATGTACCACCCTCTACGTGAAATAGTTGTCCTATAGGTCCCTTTTAAATCTGTTTATTGTGGGATTGCTTAGTTTTCTTCTATGTGTTGCTTCCATAGTCTGGCATGCACACTGTCACATGATCAGACTGTGAACTCGTTAAGGTATGCCTGCTGCTGTTCCCAGCATGCTCTTCTGTCCTGTTCATTGAATCAAGGGTGATCCCTTGCTTGGCAGCAAATGGTACAGTGGGGGAATGTGCAAAGGCACAAGTAAAATTCTACTGTTGTTAATGACCAGTTTGGAGTTGCTATATCTGTTCTAAATCAGAATCGGTGCTCCTACCACACTGAAAGATAGCAGGAATCCTCAATGTAAAGATGGAACTCTATAGAACTGTGCTGATATCACTCCTATCATCATTGTCATGGACCGGTGCATCTATTTCAGGCAGATTGGTTGATGAGCTCAAATGCATATTTTCCTCTCACCATCTACCACAGATCTAGCAGCTATGTTTTTTAGGACACCACTAGCTTGATCACTTGGTGATGGAGTCCCCTCCTTAGAATACTTTGTGCTTTTGCCACACTGACATTCAACATAGAGAATCGATCCATTAGTTTGCAGTTGTGGTGATGAGCATCCTTGCTCATGTTTAATCTAATACTGTATGTCTTCATGGGGTTTGGAGTCAAAGGTGACTCCCAAAGCAATTCTGTCCCAATTATATACACCATAGTGCCATTATCTCCAGTCGCTATGTCCTGACATGACACACAGGATGGGGATGGGGATGGTGGTGTCTGGGAAATTTTAAGGTCTGTAAGGGTTGAAAATTAAAAAAAAAAAGACACATAGTTCATCTAACTTATTAGATTTGCAAATTAAGATTAAGATTAAAAAGTACCACAATATTATTAATTAGAACTTAATGAACACATGCCTTTCATGCAACTTCCTTCATCTTCAGAGACAAACACATTGTACCGTATATACAAAAGTTGAACCAGGTGATCAAAAAATGATTAAAAATAAAAATAAAGCTCATCCTGTCAAGAAGGTGGAGGAGGAGCTCATAGTGGCAGCTCCAGAGAATGGAGTGAGAATAGAGAATGATTTGTCACCAATGCCAAAGCAAGAAGAGAGCTGTGCGCGCAGGAGCCCCCGAGAAGGACTGAGACAAAAATGAAAACCAGTGTCAAGTAAGAAGGGAATTTATAAACTAGGAGGATGATTTTTAATGTCTTAAAATGACTGAAGGCGGATGAAAGAATATGGGTCAAAGTCAACGTTGACTAACGGAATACAACGTGGACAGTATTTTACTTTGTGTATTGTAGTGTTGAGTTCCAGAAATCAGCAAGAAAGGCAACAGGAAGTATAAAAGTTGATTGTACAACTAACTATAGATAAAAGGGTTCAGTAATACTATGAGCAGAGGTGACAGAGATAGCCATTACTGCTGAGATGGAAGCAAGTGCTCTCAATGATTTGAAACTCAACACAGGTTCCAGTAGGACACTCAAATGGCAAGTATTATTATTCAACCTAATTAGCAGCTGGAGGAGTGGGGAATGAAGTTTGATGCAGAGTACAAGTTCGAGATTTTTGCAAAAGTCAAGCAGAATTTCAGTATTTCTGATGTGCAAAAAAAAATGTGATTTAATCACAAATTGATGGCAAATCAATTTCGTCTCATCACAGGGAATTTAGTGTTAAGGACTGGACAGCTGAAATTTTTTTTTGAAACATTCAAATGAAACAAAGAACTGTGTCCACCAGTCAGCACCTTTGCTCCCGTAATATATTTTAAAAGTTGGCATTCTTGCATCTGTCCTGGTAACATGCAGGATGAAAAGCTCCAACATATCTTTCTTTTCAGCAATATTCAAGTCCTTGTTATCAAGTGGCTATTGTACAGATAATAACAATATTCTGACACGGAATCAAAATGGGGTTTAAGTTGAAACAAAATTTGGAACAAGTTCAAATCAATTTTGTAGGCAACATTAGGTGCTGATGAGACATTTTCCAAAACTGATATTTATATACATGAGTGCACAGACAGCCACTAGTGTTACACTTGTATCTGCAAGAATAAATTAGGAATTGAAGGTATTTATGTATAGGCTTCCTGTGCAGATATAAAACACTAAGTCAGCAGCGGACTTTTGATCAAAGTGAGGAAAGGTTGGGCCTTGGCTAACAATTAAATGGAAATAACAGTGACGTCAGTTTGGAAAATACATCCAGCATTCATCATAGTTTGTTGAGATCAACCTTAATGTCGATCTATTGTTTCTTTGGAAAATATCAAAGACGACCACTGAGTGACAAGTGAAATGGAAACTATAGTTAGAGCTGGAAAATTTTGCCGGAGCTGGAAACATAACGTTGCGTATTTTTTAAATATACAAAATTCTGTTATTTTATGTTGGTCAATGGAAGATAAGTCAATTGGAATAACATTTACAAAGCGAAGAAATGATGAATAGCAATGCCAAGAACGAGATGAAAAAGAAAACGACGTAAGTCATCAGAAATAGTAATATCTCAAATCATATGGAAACCCTGTCTCAAGCAAGTCGAGACAGGAACAATAACAAAAAAGGTCATGAAGGCAATAAAGGGGTGTCAAGCAAATAAATAAGACTAACAAAGAAAAGCTAAAAGGAGACTGGATGAATACTTGAAGTAATAAGAAATTCAGGGCTATCAGAAAATAGAAAGAAAATGGACTAACTAGCTGGCTCTTCGAAAATATTAGTGCGATACTCAACAAATCTGCAATAGATTAATTAAAAAAGTATATGGATTGAGAAATAACTCACTCAGCTAGTCATTCATCAATTTAAAGGCAGAAAAATGCTTTAAAATTCTGTTTTTCTTGGAATTTTACAATTGAAGAGCTTTTGTGTTCATGTTAAAAAAAAATCCTTCAATTTATCCAAGTTGAATGTTTCCTTCAAATATATCTCCAATGAACAAGCAATAGCCTGATCAGTCACCTTTTTATTAACCCCTCTCAACAATAAGGCATTACTTGCGCTCACTAATGCCTTTGCTGAATTCTCAACATAACATAGGATTTATATATAGCACAGAACAATACAGCAGAGGAACAGGCCCTTCAGTCCATCATGTCTGTGTCAACCATAATGCCACTCTAAATTAATTTTATTTGCCTGTACATCGTCTGTATCCCTCCACTCCCTGCCAGTCTTGTGCCCATCTAAATACCTCTTAAAAGTTGCCATTGTATGTGTTTCTACAACTCTCCTGGCAGCCCATTCCAGGCAGCCCATTCCAGGAACCTACCACCCTCTGCATAAAAACCTTTCTAGCACATCTTTAACCTGCCCCCTCTAACTTTAAAGCTATGCCCTCTAGTATTTGACATTTCCACCCTGGGAAGAAGACTCTGACTATCCATGCCTCTCAATTTTATATACTCTTATCAGGTCACCCATCAGCCTCTAATGCTCTAGCGAGAAGAATCAGAATTTGTCCAACCTCCTCCTCATAGCTAATACTCTCTAAGGAGACAATAAGGACTGCAGATGCTGGAAGCCAAAGTCTTTCAGGTGTGAGGCTGGAAAAGCACAGCAGGTCAGACAGCATCTGGGGAGCAGGAAAGTCAACATTTCAGACCGAAACCCTTCATCAGGAATGGGGAGGGGCAAGAGGACGCCAGAAGTAAATAGAGGTAGGGGGTTGGGGCTGGGTGAAGTGTAGGTTGGATTTCATCCAACCTGATCTACTGCATCCATTGCTCCCGATGTGGTCTCCTCTATACTAGGGAGACCAAACGCAGACTTGGGGGCCACTTCACGGAGTATCTGTGCTCTGCATGCATCAACAAACCCAATATTTCAGTTGCCATCCATTTTAACTCCTCCTCCCACTTCCTTGACATGGCCATCCTCGGCCTCCTCCACAGTCAGAGTGTGGCCTAATGTAAACCAGAGGAACAATACCTGATATTGTCCTTGGGAGCTTACAGCCCAATGGCCTCAACATTGACTACTTCACTGGCTTCAAAATCCCTCCACCCCCAGCCTTATTCCATATCCAGCCCTCTCCCCTCCCTCTAACCACACTGAACTGACCTAACTTGTCCATTTTCCTACACTCCTATCCGCTCCACCCTTCCCACGGACTGATTACAATAATCCCCTACCTGCATCCATCTATCACCATCTCTCTGACCCTTCCCCCAACACACCCTATATTTATTTCTGGGCTCTCCTTCCCAGTCCTGATGGAGGGTTTCAACCCAAAATGTTGGCTTTCCTGCTCCTCAGATGCTGTCTGACCTGCCGTACTTTTCCAGCCTTACACTTATAGACTAATACACTCTAATCCAGGAAACAGCCTTGTAAACCTCTTTGGCACCCTTTCCAAGGCTTCCACATCCTTTCTATAATGTGGAAACCAGAACTGTACACAATACTCCAAATGTGGTCTGACCAAAGTCTTAATTTCCTGGAGTATCCTTGTTGCCCTTCTTAAACAGAGGAAAAACATTGGCTATTCTTTTGTCTTCTGGGACTTCACCTGTGGCTGAAAAGGATACAAAGATCTCTGTCAAGACCCCAGCAATCTCCCACCTTGCCTCCCTCAGTATCCTGGGATAGATCCCATCAGGCTGTGGAGTCATAATTAATGTTTTTCAAGACACCCAGCACCATCCCCTTCTTAAGACCAACATGCCTTAGAAAATCAATACACCCTTTGCTAATCTTACCATCATCCACGTGTTCCCCTTGGTGAATACCAAAGTGTAGTACTCATTAAAGACCTCACCCACTAACTCTGGCTCCAAGCAGAAATTCCCTTTGTCCTTGACTGGACGTACCCTTTCACTAGATATTCTCTCATACATATAAAATGCCTTCGGATTCTCCTCAATCCTACTTGCCAAGAATAGGTCATCGCCCCTTTTAGCTCTCCTAATTCCTTGTTTAAGTTCTTTCCTGCTACCTTCATATTCCTCAATGGCCTAGTCTGAATGCAGTTTCCTAAGCCTTATATGCTTCCTTTAACTTTTTGACTAAAAACTTTCAATATCGCTTGTCATCAAGGGGTCCCGAATCTTAACATCCGTATCTTTCATCCCCACAGAAGAATGCTGGTCCTGAACTCTGTTCAACTGACCTTTAAAAAGATTCTCACGTGTCAGATTGGGATTTACCATCGAACAGCTGCCTCCAATCTTTAATTTCTCCAGTTCCTACAGAATACTGTTGTAATTAGCTTTCCCCCAATTTAGCACTTCATCACCCAAGAACAATCTTAAAAGTTACAGAATTATGATTACTATTCCCAAAATGCTCCCCCACTGAAACTTTGATAACCTGGCTGGACTCATACAAGGTCCAAACTAGCCCTTCCCTAATGTACATACCATTACAAGAAACCCTTCTGGATGCACCAAACAAATTCTATCCACCCAGGTCCCTGGCATGAAGGGAGTCCCAGGCAATACTGGGGAAGTTAAAACTACCCACTACAATAACCCTGTTGTTTTTACACCTTTCTATGATCTGTTCACATATGTCCTCTATCTCCCATTGGCTACTGGGAGGCCTACAGTTAACCCTATCATAGGGATTGTACTTTTACTCTAACCATGTTACTTTGCTGGCTGAGGCTTCCAAGATGTCCTTTCTCAGTACTGCTGCAACATTCTCCTTAATAGTAAAACAACGCCCCCATCCTGTTTACATCCTTACTTATAACACCGGAAACATTTAAACCCTGGAAAGTTGAGCTACCAGTCCTGCTGTTTACCCAAGTTAACTATTCTGGCAGGAATGGCAATACTCAACCATAAATATCAACTGAAGCTGAAGAGTTTCAACAGTGCACCGTGAGCAAAAATAGCTTGCATTTACGTAGCATCTGTCATAACCTCAGGATATTGAAAAACGCTTTACAATCAATAGAAGTAGTTTTATAATGGTCACTTAAAAATGTAGAAAACTCACAGTAAATATGAACACAGAATGATCCATGAACAGCAATATGATTATGACCAGATAATCTCCATGTTTGGTTTTAGAGAGAAACATTATCCAGGAGAAGGCCCCTGCTTAACTTTAAAGTTAATGCTAGAAGATCTTTCAACCCCCTTCAGGGGGACGTTATGGACCTTAGTTTAATGGTACTTCCAGTAGCGCAGCAATTAGCTTCCTGAAGTAGTGACATTGAGCCTTGAGTGGTCTTCAAGTCCCGCAGTGCGACTTGAAGCCCCAACTTTCTATTTCGGGAGGAGAATTTTAATCGACAAAGTCACTGCTGACATTACTTATAGTATATAAATGATTCCATCCTCACATACCACATGGTTGTCATGTGGAGTTGTTACTTGTGAAGGATAATGGAGGTATCCTCACTCAAGGTGGATGGAAGTGTAAGGAAGTCAGTCTCCTCCGATCTGGTCACATCTTAACTATTTTCTCCATCAGGCTGCATTTAAAAATTGTTCATTATGCACAATTGTTTGAGTTGATTATAAGTATAGGTTTTGGTAGAAGGGTTCAACATCTATATAACATTCAATCCCAGTGGCAATGAGTTATTCATCTTGCGTTCAATCTTAGTACTGCAGTGCAATCTAACATTCTGCTTAAAAATTGCACACAAAACTTAAGGATGATTAATGAGAAAGATGTGTTAAAAGTTGCAGCTGTATGTTTAAACAGATGATAATTCCTGGCTTCCCATTTCCTTGTATTTGGAAATTGATCATTAGCATGGATTTCATCAAGCATACATTAACTTGTTCAGTCAACTGTCTATTAGAATTCAATAATAACAAGCATATTCTACACGAGAAACACCTTATACAGTTATTTGCTTAAATTTATTTGATTTTGCAACATAGTAAAGAACAGAATTGATGCCTTTCACACAAAACAATTTTAAAGTGCCAGAAAATTTACCTGAATTTTTTCACTTTGCCTTTCCACAATTTTCCCTCCATCAATAACATAAACTGGACTTTTATTCACAGAGTTATCAGCCTTGTGTCTGAGCCAATCTTCATAGCCCTGTAAAGAGTAGAGGAGGCATTATAGGTGAAGATTTCAAGGAAAAAAATAAAGGGAGGAAGAGAACGTCAGTGCTGGATGGGTTTTAAAATTGAAGGAATTTACTGGCAAATAACAAGATTAGCACAGGTTAAGAGATATCGAAAGACTACTCTAAGACAAGGGCCTACCAACGGGCACAGCACACATGGTGATGACGCTGATGAAGGTGGTGTTATCAAAAAACACAAGCATATCTAAGCGCTTAGTTGATGATTTATTTTAATACAAGAATGGTTTGTACACTGCAAATACATATTTCTACTTTAGCTTCTACATATTATTTAAAAATAACAAACAATAATGTTTCAACTCACTCAATAATAATTGAGCAAGGTTTGTTAGACAGCATCTTCTGAATCAGTGATCATTACTATTCTAGAAGATGATACAGGAGGACACTACCACCTGCAAGTTCTCCAACATATACAGCGTCCGTACTTGGAGCTATATTACCTGTCTTCTACCATCACTGGGTCAAAAATCCTGGAATCTCTTCCCTAACAACACTCTACCTACACCTCTGACTGCAGCAGTTCACCACCACCTTCTCAATGCAATTAGGGACAGGTAAAAGACGTAGGTTCAGCCAGCGCAGCCCACATCCTATGGATAATTAATAAATAACTGCTATCTTGCTGGCATTATCCAAGTACTAAGACAGAGACAAAACTATCTTGTGAAAAATCAATAAATTGTTCACATGTTAAGTAGGCACCTGAAAAGTAAACTTGCTTCACATTACATCAGGTACAGTTTTACATCACATATCACACATTAAACATTACTCTTAACAACTTACTTGTTTAATTGCTGTCACAATAATCACGAAAAACAGAGGAAGTCCACTTGTTACTGGGCTAGTTGGAGTATCAACGATAACCTGGTGGGGAGCATAAAATTTGATAATTATAGTAAATACTGTTGTTTAGCACAGAGATATTAAATGCAAGTTCAATTTAGACAATGGTGAAAAAGTGCATAAACATCCATGCAACAACACCGATATTAAAATTATAATTTTAAAAAGACTGGCTACCACAAGCAGGAAATACATTGACCTTAAGAAAAAGGTGCAAATTCATTGCAACATCAAATAATTTATTTCATACAGGACTAATAATTACTAAGTTTAATTTTACCCCGTAACTAGCTCAGCTTACCTGAACAAGGAATATAATAAGAAAGTAAAAATTTGCTATTCTTCTGAACTGCTCAAACAGATTTTTTGGAATAAAGTTCCAGTACGTGTACTATGAGAAAACAAAAAGGGAAAGAGCAGAGATATGGTTAACTATCACCTCAAAAGATTTTATTCTCATTAATTTCAAACAGAAACGAAGGATTACCTAGAAATAGGAGGAGACCATTTCAGCACTTGTACCTGTTTTGCTAATAGCATAGCTGATTGAGTAAATGGAGTTGCACCTCTTTTCCTCTGTTTCCCTTAATATCCTAACCCATTGAGAAAAGTCAATCACAGTCCTGAATTCTTAATTAACTGAACACCCACTGTTTTGCAGAGCAAGGTGTTCCAAATTTCCACCATCCTTTGAAAAATAATGTCTGAAGCTTTCTGCTAACTGCTTAGCTTTAATTATAAGACTTCTCTACCAGGGGTAAAGGTTTCTCTTAATCAATCATAGTGAATCCCTTGATCTTAAATATTCACATTATACCACTCCTACAGGCTACACACTTTATCCTCAAATACATTAAAACTCATAGGCCTTTTTCATGCCAATCTTAATGCTCAGATTATAATTTTTTTTAGATTTAGTACATTATCAGCAGATAAATTAATGCTTATAGTCAGTACGTCATAATTATAGAATGTCAGAATGGATGAAGTTTTTAAAAACTTTTTTCAATGTTATTAGTAAAGACAGAATTTAGAAATGTGTATGTTAACTTAGCAGCTTGTTTGCTAATCCAAAGATTCCAAGATCATACCCAGAATGATCAAATTTTAGGCTCGAGTTTCCAATACAGCTTATATAAAAGCAATAACAATTTTCTTCACTTCAGTGACCTTACCTAATATGAAATACTTCAAAAAATTGTATGCACCTCTGATGTAGTAGTCATTCACATACTGTTTATTAATCTAATTTTAACAAACATTTTGGTGCTTGCTTCAGCAGCATGTAGCTTTTCATTGGATTTTATCTAAGTGGATGCAATACAATATTGAGCACAGAATATTGATGAATCAAAGATTTAAACCTTTGTCTTAACCAGTTCAACACATCACAAAAATTAAACATGTCCTCATACAAGTCAATTTTAGAAATCTGGCTTAAAAATGTTCAGTGACAGAAAATGAACCGTGATTATATGAAGTGCTATTAATATAATGAAAAATGTCCTAATGTTCAGTGTATGGATTAACTAACCATCCTGCCTCCAACAAGAGATTCAACAGTCCACATGTGCCACCTCCACATAATTCTTAAAAAAAAATCTCTAAACAGGACAGTAGCTGAAGTTAATCAACTTTACACGTTTTTCCTAGGAATTAGCTTACAAACTTAATTTCCTTCAAAATCAATTCTGAATTGGGAGAAATGTGGAATACTACAGTTCTGCAGACTCCAGTAATTGGGAACAGATCTATTCTTAGCCTATAAAGCTGCTGCTGCTGCTCTGGTAGCTTTAACCTTCCTTCGAAGTGCTTTGAACCAAAGCAAAAAAGAAACAATACTGCGCAGAAAACAATAGCTATTATTTTTGAATATAGCATTTGTTTAGAGATTTTAAGTATTTAGTTCTAAGAATATAAACATTGTAAATATTTGTCTGTACATAAGAAAGAAACATTCAACATCACTTCTGGAGCCAAAAGTAATACAAAGAAGCAGTAATGATTGAACTGGTTAAGATTTCTTTGAAAGTGGTTTAAAAGAGAAAACAACACAGGGACTACCACGGAAGATAAACAAACAAAAACAAAAAACAAAATCGCTGATGGATCCAAAAGTATAACTGATAAGACTATAATTATGCTGGTTTATGGATGCCTCTGCGGAGCTCGCATGTGCACTGATTTGGCAGATAAGATTATGTTGAAGCAAGGGGAGTCATATTACAACCAACAGACCAATTTTTATGCTAAAGATGTCAAGGTTTCAAGATTTTGATTGATGTTCAATTTTAATGCTGTTGCACTGTCTGACTGAAGACTTGCAAATTCATAATTTCATCCACTTTAGTATTATCATTGGCTGTTGCCTTAATGGAAAAGCTATTGCCTTGGACGTCATTAATCTCTTTTGCTATTGCCTGAAAGTGCAATATTTCCATATCCTGATAAGTCCTAAACAAGCTCTACATCAAACTTCTTCTGGTGATAGATTTCTTCTACTGCTACACACTTAACTGGCTTTTATCCTTGACTTTCTGTGTCTGCTACTGCCCACTCGGCTAAAAAAAAATCTCTTTTCTCAAATAATGTTATCAGCATCCCAAAATTACCAGTTATTGAGAATGCCACGACCCTGGTCCACTTCCACACTCAGTTCTTGCCAGCCTTCATGCTTAAAAACCACATGCTCAAACAGAACATTGAGATCATCATTGTGCTAAAATCTCTGTAGACAAGACCCACTTTACTTAACCTACCCACCTGATATTCCTGGATAGACCATTTGTTTTCTCAACTCTGGTTTGCTTCTTCCACTCTAACAAACCCATGCTGGCTCTGTCATTTACCTTGTGTGTTCTCTCCAAAATCCATCTGTCTTACCAATTTCAAAAGTCTCAGAATTACCTTTTCTTTGACAAGAGCTTCTCTTATCCCCTTAAAACCAGTTCCCTTTCCCAATAACCAGTGTTTCATGAAGCAATTTATAATCTTGTACTAGGCAAAGGGAACTGCATAAAAATTAGTTTGCAGACCATTCATAAGTTTCTTTTCTTTCAGTCATTCACATGCAAATTAAGTTACATATTTAAAAAGAAAACCATGTTAAAGCATACCATTTCTGCCCACATTCCTTTATAACAGTTCCAATCATGTAGATTAAAGAATAAAACAAAAAACCTATATATTCCAGGCTTGATTATGTTTAAACACAAAACTGCATAAAAATATGGAGGAAAGTTAGAAACAGGCTAACCTTTGATGAAACTATTCTGTTGTCACAGAAATTCTGAGGAAGAAATGCTTCTATCTCAGGAGTTGGATGATGGCCAACATAAATTGTGCGACTGTCAACTCGTTTTTCTTCCCCAGCACACTTTAAACAAGAAAATGGTAAAATTTTGTTTACAAGTGTAAATGGATTTCACAGAAGTCTCTTCATATTATCCTGTCCAACTGGTTGTAAAAAAAGACAACATAGTTGACTAAACCAGATGAAACTTGAAATTAAATTCATTACATACATAAAGACAGACATACCTTATTTCTAGTAACGTCCAGAAACAACTTTAAGATATAAAACTTTCTGTGTAACAAATTTTAATAAAGATGTTGCAACAGGAAGATGCTTTGTTTAAGTGTTTACAGAAGTCTGATACAAGGGAGGTTAATATCTAGTTGTTATTTTTATCTATCTTTATTTGCTTTTCTTGGCTCCGATCTTCCTCAGGTACAATTCCAGCTCCTTTCTTTCAAGGTATAGCCATCTGCTCTGCCGCACTGGCCAGGTCTTAAAGCTACGCAACCAAACAGTTTTCACTGGTGGAGGGATAACAAGGTGTAGAGCTGGATGAACACAGCAGGCCAAGCAGCATCATTGGAGCAGGAAGGCTGATGTTTTGGGCCTAAACGTCAGCCTTCCT